GAGAGAGAGAGAGAGAGAGAGAGAGAGACAGACAGACAGACACGGGGAAGGAGAGACGGAGAGAGAAGCCAGAGAAAGTTGGGCAGAGAGAATCAGAGACAGTGGAACAGTCACAGAGAGCGGGGGCGGGGGTGAGACATGAAGAGAGAGACACCCCAGAGGGTAAAAAAGTTGGAGGAGAGACACTCAGAGGGAAACAGACACAAAGAGAAACAGTGCTAGAGATGCCTGGAGAACGGGGAGAGATAAAGACAGAGACAGGGAGGGAGGGAAAGGGAGACCCACCCAGATGGCAGAGCCGAAGCCAGAGCCAGACCCTGCCCCAGAGGAGACACAGACAGACCCAGACGCAGAGGGAGCAGGGACGAGCCTGTGGCGGTGACTGCCCAGGGCTTCTCCCTATGGCTCTGGACCCTCTTCGTCCCGCCGCCTGACTGGGTACTCCATTCTGGAACCTTCATTCCCCGGCAGCCCCCATGCCAGCCTCTCTCCTCCGGCCGCCTCGAGTGCAGCCCCATCCCCTGCCCACAGCTTCTCTGGGCGTCTGTCGCTCAGTGTGTCAATCTCTTCCCCTCTCCGACCCTTCTAGTTTCTGTTTCTTGTCCCTCCTTTCCTCTTTCAGAGCCCCTTTCTGTCCCCCTGGCCTCTCGAGGGTTGTCTCTGTGTCTCCCAGGCTCCCTCCCTCTTGTCCCAAGGAAACTCCCTTGGGCCAGGGCAGGAGTCACCCCCAGCACCTGCCATCCACCCGCCTGCCCGCCTCGCTGCCGCCCCGGCTCCTCCCCGGGGGTCTCCTCGTTGGCCCCCATCACTCACCCTCGGGGGCCACGCACCCCCAGCAGCACAGCGCCAACCACCAGGCCAGCAGGACCCTGCCCATCCTGGGGCACTGGGTGTTCTCTGCCAAACTCTCCTCAGAAGTTGCTGGCCACCCCTGCGAGGGGAGGGGGCAGGGCCGGGCTGTCCCCGGCCCTCCCCCCAGCTCCGGGCTCCCCTACTTTGGCACTGCCCGCCTGGCACAGTGGGGGCCCTTTGCCCCGGCTCCTCTTGGTGGCCGCCTTCCCTGCTCCCCGCCTTCCCTGCTCCCCGGCCTCTTCTCTCCCTCCCAGACCTCGGCAGCTCTTTCTCCGCCCCTGGCTCCCCCGGCCCCCGCCCAATGGGGCCCGGAGCCCCGGGGGCCACCTGGGCTTCCAGGGGTTAACTTGGAAAGGAGAGGACCAGCCCTGTCTTAAAGGGGCCCTGGAGGGAGGCTGAGGAGGGGAAGGGGCCCTGGAGGCTGCACCCCTAAGCCCAGGCCAGCCCGGGCCAGCAGGCTCGGAGGCTGTGCCTCTCTCTACCGGGCTCGGGCGCTGTCCCTCTGGGCTCCTTCGGTCTTCGGTCCGGGTAAACATTCCTCCACAACTCCACTCCCCTCAGCCTGTGCGACGCCCCCTCCCCGGCCTCCACCCCTCCTAGCCCAGCCCCAGCCAGGCACTCCCCCAAGCAGACAAGGACACACACACACACACACACACACACACACACACACACACTCTCGGATGTCATCCACACACAGAGGCCGGGACAGGAGGAGACACGCAGGGGCACGCTGCTGGCCCACGGGACATACTAAGAAGACAGGCCGGGTCAGAAACTCCATTCCTGGAGGAACCAGAACCGGGAGAACACCTGCTGGGTGGGCATCCTTGGGGTACGCTCAGCGTACACCCAGAAAGACATGTAGCCTCATGCAAAAAAGACCCACCTAGGCTCAGAAATAGGACCCCGCGTGTCCTGCGGAGGCGCCCCGTGGTGGGGGTGCCCGAAGGCCTGGGCTGGAACCGCAGCCCCACAGGAACCATGTGACCAGGGAGGCGACTGGCCTCCCTGGGCCTCAGTTTGTCCGTCTGTAAGATGGGAATAAGAACAGATGCCACTCAGCCGGGTAGAGGGAGGACGTCCTGGGTCAGGGCACCTTCAGTTCTTCCCACGTGGTGACTGTGGTGACAACGGCTGACAAGGTGCCCTAGATTTTTCGCACCTCGTCCGTCTGTCTCTCTGTGTGCTGTCATGGCGGTCTCCGCCCCCCGCCCCCCCCGCGCCCCACCGTGGGACTGTGTCCCCTGCTCCTCGCAGATCAGTGCCTGGGCGTTGGTTCTGCTGCATGTCCATTGCCATGCTGCTGTGCGTTTCGCACATGGGGGTCTCTGTAAGCCTGGGGTCTGCAGCGGGCGGCTGGGCACCCACCTCTCTGCTCGTGACCACTCTGTTTGTGTGTGGGTAACCCTACAGCTCCCCACAAAGTCCTGTCCTTTCAGACTCCTGATCTGCTGTCTCTCCCACTTGCCCCTTCTCCTACTCCACAGAGCCCAGCGCCATCCCTTCCCCTCAGCCCCCGACCCGGCCTCCTGGCCTCCGCTCCCCACTCCCTCCAACCCATCTCCCATGCAGCAGCCAGAAGGATGTTTCTGAAACTCACACAGGACGCTGTCCCTCCCCGGCTTGACCCTAGCTCCCCACTGCCCTGGGGATGAGCTTCCAGCTCCCCATCCTGGCACTCAGGGCTGGTCACCCTCAGCTTCCCAGAGCTGTCTCCTTTGTGTCTCATTTCAGTGATGGCCTCAGCATCCATTCTGTCACCCGAGTCTGACCCTCAGAGTCCTCTCGGACACCCCCCCTCCCCACTGGCGATAAGCTTCCTAGTCCCGTGGAGGACGCAGTTTCGCAAACCTCCCACCTGGCCCTGCTCTCCCCCCCACCCCCGGTCTCCCCGACTCCCCTCTCTCTCCCTGTAACCTATCAACAGCAAGAGGAACGTGTCTCAATCCCAAATCAAACCCTTTTCCTCTTTCGCCCCGAATGTTTAACGATAAAACCCAAAACTGCTTGTCTCATGTCCCCTCACGTCTACTTGGCCCTTCCCTCCCTGTTCCCAGGCTTCATTCCTTTGTTCGCAGGCCCAAGGCACCCTCCTTCAGCCCCTCGTCTCCAGCTCCTACGCACCCCTCAGCCCCATCTCAGCCATGTCCTCTGCTTCGCGTCACGGTCCGGCCCGTCCCAGTCCAATCTCGGCCCCGTGTCGGTCGCTCCCAACACTGTCGCCTTTTCTCTGGTGACACGGCATGGGTTGTCACGGCACAGCCGTCCTCCCTTATCCACGGGTTCCCTCTCCGTGGCGTCAGTTACCCGCCGTCTACCTCGGCCAGAAAACATCGGATGGAAAATTCCAGAAATAAACAATTCGTAAGATTTAAATCGCACGCCGTTCCGAGTGGAGTGATGAAATCTCTTGCCGTCCTGGGACATGAATCATCCCTTTGTCTAACGTATCCACACGATATAGGCTCCCTGTCCGTTAGTCACTTAATAGCCATCTGTTATCAAATTGGTTATCAGCGCGCGCGAGAGAGAGACCGTATTCACATAACTTTAATTACGGTATATTGTTGTAATTGTTCTCTTTTATTATTACTTGTTTTTAATCTCTTACTATGCCTAGTTTATATAAATTAAAGTTTATTATGGGTATGTATATATAGGAAAAAGCACAGTATTTTTAGGGTTCGTTACTATCGACGGGTTCGGGCATCCACTGGGGGTCTCGGAACATATTCCTTGTAGATAAGGGGGGGCTGCTGTATATTTATTGGTGTGACTCTGTGTCGTATCTGTATGCTATCTCTAGTCTGTGGGCTCTGGGAAGGCAGGGACTGGGTCTGTCCTGGTCATCGCTGCCTCCCCGCCACTCTGTAAAGGGCCTGCCATAAAGGGATCAAATAATTACTGTGACATTTTTGGGGTGCAAACATGTGCAAAGGTCTGCCCACTTGTTTGACTATGTTGGGGGAGGCCCTACACATCTAAGACTCAGGGACAGCAGATCAGGAGTCTGAAAGGACAGGACTCTGTGGGGAGCTGTAGGGATACCCACACACAAACAGAATGGTCACGAGCAGAGAGGTGGGTGCCCAGCCGCCCGCCGCAGACCCCCAGGCTTACAGAGACCCCCATGTGTGAAACGCACAGCAGCATGGCAATGGACGTGCAGCAGAACCAAACACTTACCGCGTGTTTGCGATTTACTATCAGGTGCATTTAATAAATGAGATGGACAGGTGGACAGAAATGTTCCCTGGGCCAGTGAGCACGATAAATCTCTGCCCTCGTGGAGCGCATATTCCCAGAGGAGGAGAGGCAACAACCAGATAAGCATTTATCGGCACGCAACACGGGCGGCGAAGAAAAGTAAAGCAGGGCAGAGAATATCAAAGGGCAGGAGTGGGTGAGGATGGTCAGGGAAGGCCTCTCTGAGGTTGTGATCACGATCTGAAGTGAATTAGCAAGTAAGTCATGTGGGGAAGGGCATTCCAGGCAGAGAGAACAGACAGTGCAAAGGCCCGGGGGCAGGCATGTACAGAAATTCAAGGAGGAGCCCCACGTGGCTGGAACAAAGGGGGTTCAGGGAGGAGGCGAGGTCAGGGAAGGCCTTGGCCTAGCGAGAACTTTGGCTGCTTTGATTATGACACAATCCCCTGGGGGACTATTTTCCCCCCAGATTTATTGAGATATAATTGACAAATAAAATTATATAAATTTAAGGTGTGCAGCATGATGATTTAATACACGTATATATTGTGAAAAGATTACCACAATAAAGTTAGTTAAAACATCCATTGCCTCACATACCGACTTACCATTTTTTGTGTGTGTGGTGAGAACATTTAAGATCTACCCGCAAATTTCAAGTATACAACACAGTATTACTAACTATAATCACCGTGCTGTACCTCGGATCCCTAGAACTTATTCATTTATAACTGAAAGTCTGTACCCTTGACCAACGCCTCCTCGTTCCCCACCCCAACCCCTGGCAACCACCGTTGTGCCACCCGTTTCTTTTTAATGAATTAATTTTTATTGAGATGTCATTGATGTATAACATTGTATTAGTCTCAGGTGTACAACATAGTAATTCAATATTTGTATCCATTGCAAAATGATTATCACAATAAATCTAGTTAACATGCGTCACCATAGTTACAAAATTTTTGTTTCTTGTGATGAAAACTTTCAGGATCTACTCTTAGCAACTTTCGAATGTCCAATAAGGTATTATTAACTACAATCACTGTGCTATACTTTACATCGGCCTCTCTTTCTACGAGTATGGCTATTTTAGATTCCACATATAAGTGAGATCATACAGTGTAAGTCTTTCTCTATCTGACTTATTTCACTTAGCATAAGGCCCTCAAGTTCCACCCATGTTGCCACACGTGGCAGGATGTCCTTTATTATGGTTGAATAATATTCTATCACACACACACACACACACACACACACGCACGCACACACAGTTGACCCTCAAACAACACAGATTTGAACTGTGTGGTTTCACTTACATGCAGATTTTTTCCAATAAATCCTGTAAAGCTATTCTCTCTCTTTTTTTCAAAGTCTATATTTTATTTATATAGAATAGTGCAAGATGGACGCAAATAATGGTTTGTAATCCAGTTGATCGCGTGCTGGCTAGTTGTCCTGACCATGGCGGTAGCAGGTGGGGCCAGCCTTGGTAAAGAAACGGTAAAACATTTCCGTGACTCTGAAAAGATCTAAATTAGATTAGCCCAGGGGATTTTTTTTTTTTTCCTCAGTAATACAGACAGGTTCTCTTCGTTCTAGGTCGAGTCGTAGGTGTAGCAAGTTTCTTGAGTTCTGGTTATGCTTCTGAGCTTTTGGGCTAAGTCCTATCAGCCCCGGTCTTCTCTCTTTCTTATAATTTTCTTCACGACAGTTTCTTTTCTCTAGTTTACTGTAAGAATATGGGGTATAATACATATAACATACAAAATATGTGTTAATTAACTGTTTATACTATCAGTAAGGCTTCTGATCAACAGCAGGCTATTAGTAGTTAAGTTTTTTTTGGGCGGGGGTGCTTGCTCTGGCAGCACCTATACTAAAATTGGAGGTTTTGGGGGTGTCAAAAGTTATACGAGGGTTTTTAAACATGTAGGAAGGCAGAACCCAGGAACCCCTAACTCCTGGGTTGTTCAACTATCAAACATGCATCACATCTTTTTGATCCATTCATTCAATGGCAGACACTTAGGCTGTTTCTGTGTCTTGGCTATCATGAGTAACGTCACCATGACCACAGGGGTGCAGGTGTCTCTTTGAGACACTGCTTTCTTTTCTTCTGGACCCGGAAGTGGGGTCACTGGATCCTACGGTAGTTCTATATTTATTCTTTCGAAGAAACTACATCCTGTTTTTTTATAGTGGCTGCACCAATTTACGTTTCCGCCAACAGTGCACCAGGCTTCCCCACTGGGCGGCTATGAGCAGGAAGAGACCTGATTCCATTCGGTGTTAAAGGGTCTCTCTGCTAAGGCCTATA